TATATATATATATATATATATATATATATATATATATATATATATATATATATTACTCTTGTAAATTACAATTTTCCTGTAAAATAAAAAATATATATAATTATAGGCCTAATAATTATTTTATTTTATATAAATATTTTTATATATAATAAAATATATAAATATTTTAAATACACACACACATATATAATTTCATTAAGTATAAAATAACTTTTATTTTATATAAATGTTTTTATATATAAGAAAATATATAAATATTTTATATTATAATTGCATTAAGTATAAACATGTAAGCCTGTATGTTGCTATATTTCCCAAAGTTTTGAAAGAATCCACACAGAAAGGACATAAAACAGCAGTGGACCGTGTGACTCGTGCACTATAGTCAAAGTTATTTTGTGTGAGAAACAGACCGTTGTTGATAATCTTGTCCTTTCAGATTAAAAAATGTTGCATTGATGCATCAAGCTCAGTTCCAGCGCACATGACGCTCAGTGCCGGTTTGACATCAAACTTGATGCAATGCATCAACAAATGTGATTGCAAATGAGATTTGGGAGCAGATGGGAGGTTTATCATTTCACTGAAACAATAACGGCATAAGGATTTGAAATGACACGAGAGTGAATAAATTATGGCAAATCTTCATTTTTGGGTGAACTGTCCCTTTAAAAGTCTCCTTGAACACTTTCAAACCAGATTTTACGTTAAAAACTGCAGAACAATAACGGACACACATCATCACAGAAATCTTAATATTAAGATCTCTGTCTGCTGGACAAGTAGGTAATAATTTGATACTCAATTCAGACCGACTCACTGCATACATGTCAAGTACAGTAGGCCACATTTCACTACTGCATGGAAAAGAGCACTTAGGATACTATATGCATCATCTATAGCAGGTTAACGTAACACTTCTGTTACTCTAAAGTCTTTATTTCACCAGCATTAGAGCACATGCAGCAGGACAGCTTACCAGTTTACCCGCTTAACTGAAGAACACAGAACAGACAGAAGAGAAAGAGCTGCAGGTCAACAAAACTATTAAAAACCATTTCATTCATTGAAAAAGAGCTGAAATAAAATATAAATATTAGATTCTTAAATAAAGAAAAATTAAATATTGGAGATGTTGCCTTGATTTAAGTTTAAGTTACTAAAATGTGCAAAACTGAAATAAAAATGAATTAATTACTTAATGTGAAAACTGAAAATGCAAAAATACATACTATTATAGTATTAAAATAATATTAAACTAACACTGCACTGCAGCAATAATATTACAATTTTCATTTTAATTTTTAAAAAAGTTTTAGTACTAATTTTGTTGTGTTTTTATCATTGAGATGAAGAACACTTAGAGAACTAAAACTGAAATAAAAATGAATAAAAACTATATTTATATATACACACATAAAATAAATATAAATAAATAATAAATAAATAAATAAATATATATTATATATATATATAATTAATTAAAATTAATTAATTAATTAAAAATATACATTTTAGCTTTACCTATTTTAGTATATATATATAACTGCAGCTATAATATTGTAGTTTTTATTAATATTTTCCATTTTCATACTAATTTTGTTGCTTTTATCATTGAGATAAAGAACACTTAAAGAACTAAAACTGAAATAAAAATGAATAAAAACAATATATATATATATATATACACACACACACATAAAATAAATATAAATATAAATAATAAATAAATATTATATATATATATATATTAATTTCTTTAATTAATTAAAATGAATGAATGAATTAAAAATATACATTTGAGCTTTAAAAATGAATAAAAACAATATATATATATATATATATACACACACACACACATAAAATAAATATAAATATAAATAATAAATAAATATTATATATATATATATATTAATTTCTTTAATTAATTAAAATGAATGAATGAATTAAAAATATACATTTGAGCTTTCCCTTTTTTAGTATAAAGTCAAACTAAATGAAAATGAGAAATGCTGCATTTTTCATTTTTGTTTTAGTTAACTATATTAACCCTGTACAGCGGGATGTTTAACCGATGTGTCCATGAAGCAAGAGCTTGTAATAGATGTTTAAATGTCTTTTTGCAGCTGTAGTGCTCTCAGACACAAACACGTTTAAGTGTTCTTAACTAGCACTACTGACTCTGTTGAGATCTGACTGATGCTCTTACCAGCTGAATTATATTGGTGACGCTTTGCCAGTTGGCCAGTTTAATGTTGTCTCCTCCGTCTACCAGCCCCTGATAACCCTGAAATCAAATCAAATACACACATTAATACTCACATATATATATATATCATGTAAACATGTTTAAAGTGATAGTTCACCCAAAAATTAAAATCATGTCATCATTTACTCAGCCTCAAGTTGTTTCAACTCTGTATAAGTTTGTTTCCTCTGATGAAGATATTTTTGAAAAAAATAATAAATAAAAAAGTTGATGGCACCCATTGACTTCCCTAGTATTTTTTTCCGTACTGTGGAAGTCAATGGGGGCTGTTTGGTTACCCACATTCTTCAAAATATCTTATTTTGTGTTCAACAGACAAAAGAAACTCCTTTGGAATAAGAGTGAGATGCCAGAATTCTTTTTTTGGGTGAACTTTCCCTTTAATGTTATGCCACATCATTATCATCCATACATTAGCAAAGATCAGTGTAAAACACGAATGGCGAGAGCACCTCATAAACCAGATACACCTTGGCGCCCACATAGATGCCCATTCGGGTCACAGCGCGGATCGCTGCATTCATACCTGCAGAATTATATAGCATTTTATTAATCACACACAACACTTAGTATTCAGATGTTTATATAGATGATCACTTCCCACATTAATTCAGATTATTACACGGCTCTGTGGAATACCTGATTCTGATTGGTCAGCTGCGACATTCCAGTCAGACCACTTATTACACAACATTTCACCACAAAAACACCACATTTACCCGGATGAGCGTGTGTTATCAGCTTTTACCGGTTGTTATCAAGGGATAACATACCTTGGAATGTCGCGACTGACCAATCAGAATCAAGGATTCCACAGAGCCGTGTAATAATAGGAGATAACAACCGGCTGGATGTACATTATCCCGTACTTAATGAATGCTGCATTAATAATCAAATTAATAATCTGATGCCATGTAAAGAAAATGTCCAGGTCATATTTAAAAAATAAAAAAATAAATAAATATATATATGTATTCATATACTATAATTATAATATAATAATACATAATATAATATAAATATATGCATTATATTCAGTAAGATGTTTTTTTTTTAAAGAAATGCTTTTATTTTGCAAGGATGTGTTAAATTGATAAAAAAAAGACTTATAATAAAGACGATGATAATAAAGACTTATATTGTTCGAATTTTTTTTTATTTTAAATAAATGCTGTTCTTTTTAACTTTATTCATCAAAGAATCCTGAAAACATATGCTAATTTGCATCTGGAGTCCCTAGAAAGGCTTTTTAATAATAATAATAATACTAAATAAATAAAAATACAAAACATTTCAATACAATTCATAGAATTTCTTATTTGGAAATATGATCTGCACATGTTCTTGCCCACCTACTGACATAAGCTGTAGAGGTTTATATGGCCTATTTACATAGATCTACTTTTCTAGCAATTTACTCAATTTCAGACACATTATTGGTTCAAACGGAAACGCTCAATACATGATGAAATAATAATAAGATAAAATAAATGCATCTGAAAGAAAGGCTATAGGCTAGCTGAGCAGGAGGCAGTGAAGGTCAGTTTGCAGGTCATTTCGATCATATATGGATTCCTGTTTAATGGTCATCATATAAACCTCCTTTTGCATTTCGTTGATATTGCATGAGCAAACATGGCTGGCTACATCATCTACATAAACACATCTTTTATTAGTTCGCATGCATGTTCAGAATCCGAGGCCCCGCGTCAGCTGCAGCTTCACCTTGCGCGTCTCCTCCGCTCGTTAGCGCGGCGATCGCTCTGCCTGCGCCCGTCATCCGCAGCTTCTCCAGCCCCGCAGAACTCATGCTGTCTCCCGACGACCCGCTTCTGCGAGATAGCAGTATGAGGTTACCGTGCTGCTGTAGACTATCCGTCCGGAGAGGGTCGGTTACACCGCGTCTGTTGCGCCGATTGACCTTCCGCGCAGACGCTGTGAGTTCTGTCTTGAGCGCGCAGACGTCAACGCCCACTGTAAACACTGTACTGTACTGTCCAGCAGCTTCCTGGCAGTGCTGGAAAGCCACAACCCAGCTACAAACATGCCCTATAGTCCTAAATATGTCATGCACAGATTTGTAATACTTTCAGAAATACGTTTTCATACATAACAAGGACCGCTAGCTTATGTATGAAAACTTATTTCTACAGTTTTATGAAAGTTCTGAAAATTCTCGGTCAATGCCAACGTTCCATTTGATCGTTTTGCAAACATTGTGTGAACGTTTTTTCTGAACATTCCAAAACAAGTAGAAACGTTTAAATATGTTAGATCGGGGCTATTCAGTTAGTTTCATTTGAGGGCCGGATTATTGAATTGAAAAATTGAAGGGGCCCAAGGGTGAGGGGCCCGTCCCGATCTCTTTCTGGGGGCCGATAAAATTAGAAATTAAATTTAAACGCATATTCAGCAGTAAAATCAACTAATATTACCGACACCAAAATCTATAAAAACATTAGTATTGTCTGTAAGTTGATAAAATAAAAAAAAATACATTTTTCCGTAATTAATCATGATCAGTTGCATAAATATATTGTCATAATTTAAATTCAGCTAGTTTCATTTGAGGGCCGGATTATTGAATTGAAAAATTGAAGGGGCCCAAGGGTGAGGGGCCCGTCCCGATCTCTTTCTGGGGGCCGATAAAATTAGAAATTAAATTTAAACGCATATTCAGCAGTAAAATCAACTAATATTACCGACACCAAAATCTATAAAAACATTAGTATTGTCTGTAAGTTGATAAAATAAAAAAAAATACATTTTTCCGTAATTAATCATGATCAGTTGCATAAATATATTGTCATAATTTAAATTCAGCTAGTTTCATTTGAGGGCCGGATTATTGAATTGAAAAATTGAAGGGGCCCAAGGGTGAGGGGCCCGTCCCGATCTCTTTCTGGGGGCCGATAAAATTAGAAATTAAATTTAAACGCATATTCAGCAGTAAAATCAACTAATATTACCGACACCAAAATCTATAAAAACATTAGTATTGTCTGTAAGTCGATAAAATAAAAAAAAATTTTTTTTTTCTGTAATTAATCATGATCAGTTGCACAAATATATTTGTCATAATTTCACATTGAACCTCCAAATTAATGTAGAAACAACCTAAAGGTGGTATATTTTAACTATGCTTAATGGCTTCTCTTTACAAAGTAGCCTATTATGAATAAAAGCAAGTATTTTTGATAGTGCTACTGATGTCTCTATTAAATGCATTTTCACCTCAATTTTAGCCATTAGTTACAGCCATTCAACATTACAGTATAATCGAAAGACATTATTTTTAACATTTAGTAGGCTCTGAGAAAATATAACTTTTAATTTAAGTGAACTTAAAACAATCTTCACATAAACTATAAATTGTATTTGATAGTTTTGGCATGATTGTGTGTTTTTGTTTAGTTTTTTCGCGCAGCCTTTCAAACTGTACTCCATCTGATAATCATCTTCGTTCAGTGTCTGCGCTATTTCTCGCCAGAAGTTAAGACGGATAACACTGTCTTCACACTCGTTTAAACCTTCACACACGCTGCCGTCTATTGATAATGTGGTCTCAGGAAGGTTGTTGTTGTTCCGTCTCTTCCTTCACTTTTTCGGCTGTGAAACAACGGTCTCGTCCAGTGATGCCACCTTGTGGATAAACTAATTAGTGCAAAAACAAGGCGTATGTGCGACCCCAATTGAATAGCCCCGTGTTAGATGAATGTCCATCTAAAATGTTTCAGAAAGGAACATTCCATTTTGCAAACATTATGCGAACGTAACTTTTGAATGTTTTCTGAACGTTCTGAAACAAGTAGCAACATTTAAATACATTAAATGAACGTCCAACTGAAACGTTTCAGAAAGGGAACGTTCCATTTCATTATTTTGCAAACATTATGTGAATACTACCTGTGAATGTTTTTGAACATTCTGAAAATGTAGTAACGTTTTAAATACGTAAGATGAACATCCAACTAAAACGTTTCAGAAAAAACACTAACACACGAAAAAACGTTCTATTAACGTTACTGGAAGAACATTTGCTCATAACTTTAAGAGAACGTTCCCTAGCTGGGAATCTAACAGTCGGCACGACTGCGCTGTAAAACCTTTTAATTTGCCATGAAAATGTTGCCATAAAACTTTTATCCTACATACACATATATCAATCATTTTTAAACGTTTTAGTACCATGAAAGTTTGATTTTTAAAGTTTGTCAAAGAGCATATTTTCACCTGTCGCCAAACATATGCATGGAAACAGAAATCCTGATCACATTCAGAGGTAACCATAGCAACAGAATTTGGTTGAATATGCATTTCTGACTGAAATGCAATTTTTTTAATTATTAAAGCTGGCATTTTGTGCAATAATTTGTACAAATTTAAATGGGATGTAACAATTCACTCGATACGATTTTATTTTACAAAATGAGATTTAAAACGAATTATAAATGAAAAGGTGTCCTTTTATTATTTCTCAGACAAAATGCTGCACATCTTTGTGAAATTGAAATATGTCAAATAACAAAACTAAATTGAAATTTTACAACAAATAAACTGCAGTCCCACACTTTTTATATTATTATTATAACATTATGGGATGTTATAAAATGTTTTGTTTCCTGGGATTAAGTAGTGTTTGTTTTACACCTGATAAAGACACGTTAAAATACTTTCAAGTCAGCTGCATTATAAAAAAGCTAACTTACATCGGTAATATTTCATGCAATTAAGTAAATTAGGAAAATGCAACCTAGATTTTTTTTAGATTCTCATTGGCTGCAATACTCTGAAGACCTCATCCTCGGTATAAACTACAAATGCAATAAAACTTGTGAACTTTGAACATGCAACTCTATTTTAGATAAGTTATCTGGCACTTCAACTTTGTTCTGCTTCGTACTTCATGCATAAGTGAACGTATTTATGGCTATAAAGGATATACAGCACCTTTGAAATGCACAACGAAGCTCTTGAGTTAAACTAAGCATCAGACACATATGAACAGAACAAGGAGAGCCGGCAGAGTTTGGTACAGTACATCAGTGTTTATTCCATGCAGGTGCTCTGCCTTGATTTTACACGTCACTCCTGTCGCACTGTGCACAGGCTATTACAGGACATCGTCAGGATTGGTTGATCATAACACCATTCAAGATAAGGAAGGAAAAGGGCCGAGACACGAGTAAGAAACAAACTGGAGGAGGAAAATGAGTTCAGAGCTTAAGATATTCTGCACAAAAATAGTTCATTTTTAAATACCTGTATATGTAGTAGTTAACAAAGCAATTAAAAATGGTTAACGTGAATAAGGACAGAGAAGATGGCAGGAGAAACGAACGGTTGATGTGATACAGAACTGCATGACACTGGAATTATCTTTACAACCAGAACATGTTTGTGTCATTTTATAACAAAGATTAAATGTGAGGCAATAATCTCTCTTATGGTAAAGTGTTACCGATATTATTAATGTCCAGATATGTTTTCCACAGAAAAAGAAAATAAGGAAGCATGTTTCTGCCACGCGAAATATTCAGACTTTTTACCTCACAATCCCCCGCAATTCTGATTCTTTCTCTGATTACGCGATGTAAACATATTATTATGACATATAAACTCAGAATTGAGAAAAAAGTCTGAATTGTGAGATATAAAGTCAGAATTGTGAAAAAGTCATAGTTGTGATATAAACTCATGATTCTGAGAAAAATGTCACAATTACCTTTTTTTATTTCATGGCGGGAAAACAAAACAACAACTGTAAGACGTAAACAGAATTCAGAGGAAAAAAGTCAAAAAAGCCAGATACAAACCAAGGATTGCAAGAAAAAAAGTATTGCTTCTGAGCTTATCTCTCGCAATTCAGACGTGCAATATTTCTCAGAACTGTGAGATGAAAGTCTGAATTGTGATATAAGTCGCAATTATCGCTGTGATTTTATTCCATGGCAGAAATGGGCTTCCATAAAAAAAAAGAAAAATGGCCAAATGTCCATTTCTGAGATAATTACTGGATTCCTTTAAGATGCCAACAGAAGACAGTTCTAACATACATGAGACAATTATGAGATGAAGAAACACAGAAATGAACAGCAATCTTACATGTGCTTTAAAATAAATTAATGATCGTGTAGACCAGCTACAAAGAAGAAAGACATTTTTAAATTAAATTAAATTAAAATCATAATTTACAGGATTTGTGGTGGCGCTATGGCCGGAAAGACTTCATACATCATCATACTTCATACATCACTCACTAAAAACCAGGCCTGATCTTTAGTGGAACATGTAAACGGAAAGAATGAGGTTGGTGCGTGTTTTCGGTTTGCCTTCGTTACAATTCACTTCATCTAAACAAATCTTGCGTTTTTATCACTTTACCATCACAGTGAACAGAAATGACAAACATAATGCAAGTAATAATGGCTGATTTTGCCCCTCAAAGACATGAAAACCCATTTTGCTTCTGCAATCTTTAATATTTCTTGGTTGAAACTGGATTTTTACCCATCAAGAACTTATTGAATAGTTAAAAATGGGCTCCAGAATGGAGTCAGAAGGGTTAAAAATGAAAACCAAAACGCAAAAAGGGTCAATTTTGGTTTCATGTTGACCTAAAGTTTGTTTCCAGTGGCCTTTGCTTTGTTCATTTGCTGCAAACTCACAGCTTTTCTCATAAACTCAATGATACTGTTGTTTTAATGTGGAATTACATCTTGCGAGGCTTCTTTTAGTAAGATGTCAGAAAATAATAATAATAATAATACCATTCACAGTTTATTTCACATGCCGTACCCGGTTCAGAAACACATCCGGCTGCATTACTGATGATGAACGAGGCATTTTTACTAGTACTATAACATCTATATCTAAACACAGGGTAAATATGAATGCAATAATTAAATATAGATATGCTGGAAGATGCAGTGTCCCTTTCATAAGGAAATGATGAATAAAAACACATTTGCGAAGGAGAACTTACACACAGACTACGTTCACACCGCAACTGAATCCGTAGTTTTGTTCACAAAGATGATTGGATTGAAATGCAGTGCAAAATTTCCCAAACGACTGAAACAAGACGGACAAACCGCTTTTGTCTTGCGGAGACTCGTTTGCACTATAAAGCATTGAACCTGAGCATAAACCAGCAAGAAGCACGGGACTTCTTCCATTTCTTTTTTACTCAAAAAAACTCGACGTGTAAAAATAATGAACTCAAATCTGCAAAAATAGAGGTCTTTTACAAAGCACTTTATTTCCAGTCCAGCCTGCTAGCCAGTCATCCTGAGCGAATGATTCTCAATAGCCTGAGTGCAAAAGCGACGTTATTGCTGATTCACCCGCGGCCCTGAAACAAACGAGCTCGTTTAAAGGTCTGTCTCCATCAACGGCATGCTATTAACACACAAACACCGGCAGAACCACACCATACACGCTAAGAGAGCGATCGTTTAACCACAAATCACAATTCTGTCATCATTTCTTCACCCTCATGTTGTTCCAAACCCGTGTGACTTTCTTGCATGGAACACAGATATCATACTTTTATGGTGCTTTTTTTGGTCATTTTGAAGCTTGACAGGTTGCATGGGGGGAAAAAAAAGTCAAACGGGTTTGGAGCAACATGAATTTTTTGGGGGTAAACGATCCCTTTAACTCTAAAGGGACACTGCATCTCCAGAACATCATCACTACTGCGCAAAAGACTGGATTATTTATGTTTTTAATTATGTCTCTAATGCTCACATAGGCTATTTTATTTGATCATAAGTACACTAAAATTGTGAAATATTATTACAATTTAAAATAGCTGTTTTCTATGTGAATATATTGTAAAATGTAATTTATTCCTGTGATCAAAGCTGTATTTTCAGCATCATTCCTCCAGTCTTCATTGTCACATGATCTTCAGAAATCAGTATAATATTTGCTGCTCAAGAAACATTTATTATTATTATCAATGTTGAAAACAGTTGTGCTGCTACCGAATATTTGTGTGGAAACCATAAGATAAAAAAGAAAAAAATTAATTATTTTATTCAGCAAGGAAGCATTAAATTGATCAAAAGTGAGAGACATTTATAATGTTACAAAAGATTTATATTTCAAATAAATTCTGTTCATCAAAGAATCCTGAAAAAATGTTTCAGCTTCCACAAAAATACCAGACAATACTCTTTTTACAAAATTGATAATAATAATAACAACCACCATTAGTCATAATTGAGCACCAATAATAATTAAGCAGCAAATCAGAATATTAGAATGATTTCTGAAGATCATGTGACACTGAAGACTGCAGTAATGATGCTGAAAATTCAGCTTTGATCACAGAAATAAATTACAGTTTATCAAATACTCACATAGAAAACAGTTATTTTAAATTGTAATAATATTTCACAATTTTCCTGTATTTTTGATCAAATAAATGCAGCCTTGATGAGGCAAAAGAGACTTCTTTCAAATACATGAATTATTCCAAACGTTTGACAGGCAATGCACACCGTCGGTTTTCACGTCAAACTCTTTAGGGTTGATACTTTCGCACGCCGAGCGTCCTGCTCTCCTCAAACACGGTCCTGAGATGAGAAAAAAGCTGCTCCGCTTCAGTTCAAACACTGATTTGATCATTAAAGACGTCGTTCCTCTAGAGCAGTTGTTCTTTGACTTCCTGTTCGTCTGTAGAGGCAAGCAGCAGCAGCAGCAGCAGCAGTCTGATTGGCTGATCAAATGCCGACCAAGCAGGCATGCTGGGATATTTCCACACATCTTGGAAGTCAAAGAGGGCAAAAGAAACAAGGAAGGACGTCGTTCCTGCTGGTGCTCAAACTAAAGTAATCCTGAAGGGCGTCGTTTCAGTAAACGCAGGAAGTAGCATGTCGCCAGAGACCCATGTCTGGCGGGTCGGGCTCATTTGTGTCTGTGGTCCCGTCATGGAATGGATCCTCAAGCTACGCACTTAAAGGGATAGTTCACCCAAAAATGAAAATGTGATGTTTATCTGCTTACCCTCAGGGCATCCGAGATGTAGGTGACTTTGTTTATTCAGTAGAACACAAACGAAGATTTTTAACTCAAACCGTTGCAGTCTGTCAGTCCTATAATGTCAGTGAATGGGAATCACGGCTTTGAGAGTCAAAAAACATACACAAACAAAACCAAATGAAACCCTGCGGCTCGTGACGATACATTGAGGTCTTAAGACACGAAACGATCAGTCTGTGCAAGAAACTGAGCAGTATTTATATAATTTTTACCTATGATTCACTGCAATGTCCGAACTGTCCAGAGCGCGTTCTCAGACGCGTCTTCTTCTTCTTGCTTTACGGCGGATCGCAAACTTATAAGTGCATTATCGCCACCTATCTCTCAAATGGACCATTGATACTCTATCTACAATCTCAATTAGGAGTGTCAATGATCCATTTGAGAGATAGGTAGATAGGTTTTGTTTGTGTATGTTTTTATGACTCTCAAAGCCGTGATTCCCATTCACTTCCATTATATGACTGACAGACTGCAACGGTTTGAGTTAAAAATCTTCGTTTGTGTTCTACTGAAGAAACAAAGTCACCTACACCTCGGATGCCCTGAGGGTAAACAGATAAACATCAAATTTTTGGGTGAACTATCCCTTTAACACTTTCACTCACGTACCTGCGGACATATATATATATATACACACATTCTTGCAGACTTCAATAATCTTCTAACTAGCTAACTGGAATCGAGTTGCCTTGAACACTTCAGCGCATTAATACTCCGAGTAAGTCTGAGTTCCTGATTTCGTTTTGCGTTTCCTCTGGCTCGTAATAAAATAAGTTATGCATGTTACTCTAGCTACATTATCACTTCAGAGGAATCTGCCTGAGATGCTCAGAGAGAGAGAGAGAGAGAGAGAGAGAGAGAGAGAGAGAGGGGGATTATGGGAAGGGCTGATCAGATGGGTCAGGCGTGGATTATTGCCGTGTTTCCTCCGAAGGCTGGCGTTCACCAGGATGAAGGAGCGCAGGGCTGTTTGTTCCTGATGGTGGTGTCGGAACATTCCGCATCCGACGTGTCACAGTCGGAATCTCCGAAATGCAGCGGATTCTGAGGGAGAGATGAACAAACGGGAAGTTCATGTTTCATTTAATTACACTAAGGGATTCAAACACTGCTCAACAAGTGATTCAGATGATTCACACTAATAATCATTCTTCAGTATATGATCCGATTAGCAATGATTCACGAGTGAATCATGAATCTGTTGATTCTCTTCTGAAAAGAATCCCTGAAATATTTTTTTTGAGCGGGTTAATTTGGATTCCCAAACTTTTTTGTCCGTCGAACCACTTTGAGCTAAAATTATTTATTTGAAGTAGCCCCTGAGCTTTAATAATAATAAGTTAATATTTCACTCATTTAACAACATATTCACATGTTCACAGTTCTTTAATAAGAGCTAATAGTCACATGACATGTAGGGAACAAATAAAGCTTTTTATTTTAATTGTTTTTTATTTTAGAATTATTTATTTCATTTGAGTTTATTTAAGATAATATATTTATTTTTAGTAAGCGTTTTTGGTTTTTATATTAAAATTATTTATTTTATTTAAAAAATATATCACGTTTTTAGTAATTGTTTTATTCTGAAAGCTTTTATTTTAAAATTATGTAGTTATTTTATTTTCATTTCAAATAAAAATGAAAAAAGACAATATATTTTCTTTCTCATTTTAAAATTACTGATTTTATTTTAATATTTAACATTTTTGGTAATCAATTTAATTGGGTTGTTTTTGTTTTAAAATTATGTATTTATTTCGATTTTAATTTATTAAAAAACAATCTTTTTAGGAAGTGTTTTATTTTGATTTTATTGCAAAACTATTTTATTTAAATTTTTCTACAATTTAATGCTTTCAATTGTATTATTTTGATTGTTTTTATTTAAAAACAAATTATGCATTTTTAAAAAAAAAATGATTTTAAATATATAAAATGCATACTCCAATGTTTTATTTTGTTTTTATTTATTTTATTTAAAATTATCCCAATTATTTTATATTTTTAGTAATTGTTCATGTACTGGTAATTGTCGAAGTAATTAAGTAATTGTTTTGTTTATATTAATTTGTCAAATATTAAATATTTTTAATTGTATTATTCTGATTGTTTTTATTTTAAAATTATGTATTTATATACATTTTAATTTATTTCAAATACATTTACATTTAGACATTTAGCAGATGCTTTTATCCAAAGCGACTTACAAATGAGGATATATAAATAAATATATAAAATACATAATATTTTAGTAAGCGTTTTATTTTGTTCTTATTTTAAAATTAATGATTTTATTTAAACTGATTCCAAATATTCCATATTTTTAAATAAATTATTTTATTTTGAGTGTTTATTTTAAATTATGCATTTATATATCTTTAAGTAAGTGTTTTATTTTGATTGGTATTTTTTAATTATTTTATTTTAGTCATTCTTTTGACTGTCTTTATTTTTTTTATTATGTATTTATTTCAAATTATTAGCTTTTCATAACCTCGTGAATCCCCTGCAGTTCCCGATTTAAATGAAGTGTTCGAAAGAAGCAGTTCACGTAAATGAGTTGGCATGAAACAGGAGAGCAAAGCACAGTGTTTACCTCGTAGCTGTGCTCATCAGCACACAGTTTGCCCAGAGAGATCTGGGTCTTGACCCGGCGGACGGCGCACTCTTTATCGGACAGGCCGTCGGACTGCGTGGAGATGTCGATGGGGATCTCAGGCGTGTGGGACAGGAGCTCGTCCAGATGCTCCTCCTGACTGGCGCTGAGCTGCTCCAGCGGGCCGCTGTGCGAGCGATCGCTGGTGTTTCCCTCCTCGCCGTCAGACACCGACAGGTTCTCCGAGCTGAAGGTGGAGTACGACTGGAAGCCGCTCATGCAGCGATGAGGCCTGGAAACAGAGCAGGAGGAAAAATAGTTAAATGGGTCCTATTATGCTTTTTCACTTTTTCAACTTTAGTTAGTCTGTAATGTTGCTGTTTGAGCATAAAAAAGTTCACAAAAGTTACAAAGTTCAAAGTCCACTTCAAAAGGAGATCTTTTATTTAACAGAAATCACTTTTCAAAAACTACAACGAACGACTCGTTTGGACTACAACGCATATTTTCCGGGATTTGTGATATCACAAATATCGACGAATGGGACGAGACCTGGATGAGCTGCACTAGAGAAGGCAACGAGTGTTATCACTGTGTCTGAGACACGCTAGCTTTCCCAAGGCAGACGAACTTAGAGTGGTTACAATCATCCGGGTTTAAATCACGCTCAAATTGATTTGATTTTGATGCAATATTTACACTGAAGCTTGCAGCTATGGTAAGGGGCGGGACATTTCCCGACCAGGCGTCGACTGGAGCCAATCACAACACACACCGGCCCAGTTAACCAATCACGTACATCCCCAGAACAAAATCAAGACTTTGTAAAAGAGCATAATAGGACCCCTTTAAAACCTTAGTATTTTGTAGGGCTGCACGATTATGACAAAGATCATAATTGTCGATTATTCCCTTGAAATTTTAATTGCGATTATTAATTACGATTATCACAATTTACATAGAATGATGTTCATACCACTGTTTGAAGCAACTGCATGCCATATTTTTATATGAAAATAAACAAGCTGAAAACACTCAGAGAGAAAAACTTTTATTGCTTTTCTATAGCTGTTACGTGTATCTGTGTGACACTTTATTTTCTGAATGTTTGAGTTGAACTCCGTAAATGAATTAAATAGAGGCGTCCTGAAATTCACATCAGGTGTTGTGATTCTTTTAATATGTTCGGCCTGTGTCCTTCATTTAATTGTTTGAATTAACGATCCTTAAAATGGTTATGGGCCGTAACAATAGCATTAAGGCTCAAATGTCAACAGTACATCGGATTGGTTTCTTCTTTAAATAATAAAAAAAAAAGTAAACATATGCACGGTATTATAATGTTATAGTAACACTAAAATTAAAACAATGGAAAAACCCTTAAGATAACATGTAGAAAGAAAAAAACACATCGTAAGCACTCAGAATAACTTAAATGGACTTTGAACGATGGTGTAATTCGTAATTGTAATCGCGATTAGAAATTTGATGAATTGTGCAGCCCTAGTATTTTGTCGTCTTTGGCTAATAGCTACAGAAAAATACAGGTTTGAAGATTACATGATTCGTTAAAAAAACATTCATCTTTTAAAAACTACAGAGCTGAAAACACAAAGTTTGCTTGGTTTTTAATGGTTAAGCCTTTAATGTTCACATGACATGCCGGTCTAAATGTCTTTTTTCTCTAAATTATTTTTATTATTTATAATTATTAATTTACTTATTACTTTAATTATTGTTTTAAAATTTAAATGTTAAAATTTTTTTCAAAACTTATTTTATTATTTCAATTCCTATTATTTTTTGTTTTTATTTAATTATTTGTTTTTCATTAAAAAAGTATTTTATTATTTTTAATAACAGTTTAATATTGATGTTATTTTTTTAAATTATTTATTTATTTTAATACATTTAATTCATGTTTAATTATTCGTTTTTTATTTTTAATAATATTTTTTATATATTTATACATTTATATTAAAATTTTTTTATGTTATAAAAAAAGTTATTTTCTGCTCACCAAGGCTGCATTGATTTGCATTTATTTATTTGAAATATTATTACAATTTAAATAACTATTTTCTATGATAATATATTTTAAATTTTAATTTATTCCTGTGATGCAAAACAAAATTTTCAGCATCATTAAAGATTACATGATCCATTCAAGGCTTCTGGCGAATCATGACAGAAAATCACAGATTGAATACAATAAGAGAGATTATGAATTGAAGCAGACTCACCGCTGTCTGCGTGGAAACTCCACCTCACTGTCAACCTCTCCTTCCTCTTCCTCAGAAGACTCGTCTCTCCCCTGACAGACACAAACACAAATAAAACACCTGGATCATATTATATTGAATAAAAAACTAAACTCACAATTTACAATATTACAGTTTTTAATAGAAATTCATACTTTTATTCAGCAAGGATGCATTCAATTGATCAAAAGTGACAGTAAAGACATTTATAATGTTACTAAAGATTCTATTTCAAATAAATGCTGTTCTTTTGAACTTTCTATTCATCAAAGAATCCTGAAAAATAAAATGCTTCCACAAAAATATTCGGCAGCACAACTGTTTGCAACATTGATAATAATCAGAAATGTTTCTTGAGCAGCAAATCAGCATATTAGAATGATTTGATCAATGAATTACAAATATCCTGTTTATATAAATAATCAAGTTATAATTAGTAAAGCTGAAGTGTCTAAGCTTGACCAGAGCAGATTTCTGTAAGTCTGATATCCGTTAATAGAAATACTTAATTGAATGACAGAGTTCAAAACACACACAGTACACTACCAATCAAAAGATTGGAGTTTTTAATGTTCACATGTCATGCAGGTAAACAAATTAAATATTTCAATTTTTGGGGGGTTTATTTCGATTGTTTTTATTGAATAATTTTTTACTAAATAATTATTTTTATTATTGATATTTATTATTTTTAATGTATTCATTTAGAAACAACTTTATTTTTGTATTTTCATTTTAAAATTATGCATTATTTATTTTTTCAATAATTATTTATTATATATATATAAATATATATATTTTTTTTATTACTTTAATTGTTAATTATTTGCTTTTCATTTCAAAATATTATTTTATTATTATTATATAGTTTAAAATAATTGTTTATTTTTTATATAATATTATTATATCAATATTATATATTATTTTGATATATTTTGGAATAATTTTTTATTTTTAAGTCTTTTTTTGCTCACAAAGCCTGCACAATTTTTAAAGTAAAAATACGGTTCTGCACCGGTAACAGCGGGCCCTCGGGCGGAGGGTGATGATGGTGAAGGTAGCTTTGCTCCTGTAGGGGCTGCTGCTCCTCCGACGGCCCTGAATTGAGTTTGAGGGCCCCTGGGAACTCACTGTGACTCCCTTTGCTGTTGGCCCTCCGGTGGCGGGGTTTACTGCGGTACCGGGCTTTCCCAGGCGGAGTGGACACTTTTGGGCTACCTGACAACGGGGACGGAGCCGGAAGAGGCTCGACGTTAAAAAAAAAAAAAAAAAAAAAAAAAAGGGTAATTTAAATTTTTATTTTATCTCACAATTCTGACTTTTTTTCTTGCAGTTGCGAGTTTATATCTCACAATTCTGACTTTTTTTCTTGCAGTTGCGAGTTTATATCTCACAATTCTGACTTTTTTTCTTGCAGTTGCGAGTTTATATCTCACAATTCTGACTTTTTTTCTTGCAGTTGCGAGTTTATATCTCACAATTCTGACGTTTCTTCTCAGAATTGCAAGAAAAAAGTCAGGATTGGAAGATTAAAGGTCACAATTACCTTTTTGATTTTTTTACCCAGTTGCGCAAACAAGCTCTCGTAGTTTAAATTATGCTTCTGTTTATGAAAAAAGAAAAGACCACAATGAAGGACTTACTTGAGCAGCTCTTTCTCTCGCACCTCCAGCTGCAGCATGATAGCGCTGAGCTCCATGTACAGGTTATTGGCTCGCTCCAGTTTCCTCTCGTAATGCTCTCGGATATCCAGAGCGTGTCTGAAACACACAGAGACAGTGAGACAGCCTGTAACACACAGTGACCTCCAGCTAAAGCTCTCTCTGTTGCGTGCGATTCGTCTGGGTTCACCTGAGCTCGTCTCTTCTGCGGCGGATCAGCTCCTCGTCCAGTCGATGGATGCAGGTGCCTTCACTCTTGATCTTCTCGAAATGCTTCTTCACCTCCTCTCTCCACTCCGTCTGCCACAGACAATAATGTTATTGTTCATTAAAACGGGAACACTTTAGTTTGGGGACCAATTATCATGAATATTACTAGCATATTGGCTGTTTATTAGTACTTATAAAGCACATATTAATGCCTTATTCTGTATGACCATATTTTAGACCCGTAATCCTAAACTTAAAGGGATAGTTCACCCAAAAATGAAAATGTGATGTTTATCTGCTTACCCTCAGGGCATCCAAGATGTAGGTGACTTTGTTTCTTCAGTAGAACACAAACGAAGATTTTTAACTCAAACCGTTGCAGTCTGTCAGTCTTATAATGGTAGTCTATAGGCTCCACGGCTTTGAGAGTCAAAAAAACATACACAAACAAAACCAAATTAAAC